GACGATCAATTGTGTCTGTGTGTTGTTTGTCCCTCTTGAGTAATGTGAGACGTCAAGCTTCCGAGAACGCGTGTGGGGCCACCCCTCCGGTCCGAACAGCGGCGTGCTCGCCTGTCCGAGGCCAGGCTCCCCGAGCCTCCTGGAGCCGTGGGGTGAGCCACAAACGCTATGCAGCCACGCTCCTTGGGAGCACGACCCCTCGTACAAAACAATTGTTTGATTCGCGGGTCGAGAGCGCACCTCTTCCGGTCGAAGCTAAGCGGGCCGCGCGAAGCTTGAAATAAAAGGAGGGGGAGGACAGGGGGAAGGCTTAGCCTCAGAGCGAGGCCGGGGAGGCAAAGCCTCGGGATCAGGCGGTGCCGAAGTCGTCTTACAAAAGCAAGCGGGAAGCGCCCTCGAGGCCACGATCCCGGTGTGAGAGAGAAAACTGTGGGTGCGCGCCTTCGAAGCCACGACCCCCTGATGATGCGAACGGATCCGCACGAAGCCCTGTGGGGAGCTCCAGATCCGCGCTTTCGAGGTCAGGACCCCGTGTACATACACGGCGGGCCCACGCGCTCGAGGCCACGATCCCTGGCTCGAAAGCTCCAGGCCCGCACCGACAAGAACGGTGGAGCCGCGCCTCGTGTGACACGCACGGCCCTTGCGCACCTTCGGACCCACGCTCCATCGAACTATCGGCGGACCCGCGCCCCTCGCCAAACAAAACAATGGCGGCGCGCCTTCGAGGCCACGACCCCTTGCAAGTTACTTTGTAAAGTCCGCGGGCGCCAACGTTGATGGGCCTGTTTTCCACCACCACCACCAGAAGTTGGAGGGGGGAAGGAGGATGAGGAGGAGGAGGAAGAGGAGGACCCCCTCCCCCTCCAGCTTATGGTGGTGGTGGTGGAAAGCAGGCCCATCAAACGTGGTCCAAGACAGTCCGGCGCCGGTCGTGGCAAGCGGTGGGGTGCACCGGGTGCGAACGGAGGCACGAAGGCAAGCCCTTGTGAGCTACAGTTAGCCCTCGCCTTCACGGCCACGGCCGGTTGTGAAACACCCAAGGCCCGGCGCCTTCGGGCCCACGATGCATCGAACCGTCGGAGGACCCGCGCCCCTCGCCGAAAGAACACAATGCGCCCGCGCCTTCGAGGCCACGACCGGCTGTGAGTTACAGTTAGCCGTCGCCGTCGAGGCCACGGTTTTTCGGGCGGAGCTCCCGGATTGGGGGAGAAAAATCGCCTGCGACAGCATGCCTCGTCGATAACAAACAAGTCGCGACGCCGAGACCACGGCCCGTAGCACATGACGATCACACCACGCATTCGAAGCCACGATCCCTTGAGTTTCGCGCTGCAGTCTCCGAGCCTTCGAGGCCACAATCCAGTGTAAGAAGCCATGGGTCCGCGCCTTCCAGGCCGTTGTGCAAACTGCTGGGCCCGAGTCCCAAATCCCTTCCTAAATCCCTTGCAAATAGAGACGAACCCGCACATGCAAGGCCCAAATCCACTGTAAGAGCAAAGAACAAAGAACATTGTGGCTCGCGCCTTCGAAGCCACTACCCTTGTGAAAAAAGATGGGCCAACGCCTTCAGGGCAACGAACGCTGGAACACAATGCATGGATCCGCGCCTCCGAGGCCCACTCCAAAAACAGTGCCCCGAATCCGCTAACCACCCAAACGGCCGCCCAACAAGCCAGTCAGCCTGCCAACCGGCCCTTTCAGCCCACCGACTGGCCAGCCAGCCTACCAACCATCTGTCCAGGCAGCCAGGCAACCATTGGAGAGCGCAGAGAGGGGTAGGGGGAGGGGGGGAAGGCTTCTTAGGAGGAGGCTGCTTCTCCGAAGGCGCGGGCCTTACTTAGAACTGCAAGGGCAGCCTCCGTCTCCTAAGAAGCCCTCCCCCCTCCCCCTGCTCCTGGGGAGACTGAAAAGGTACCCCTTCCTCCTCTGAGCCCCCCCCTCTGCGCGAGGCCGACGTCCATCCCGACAGCCAGGCAGCCAGCCGAGCTGCCAGCCTGCCGACGCCAACATGCCGCTCCACCGGCAAGCCTGGCCGGCCCAGCCCTGCTGGCAATCGGAGGGGCGGAGGGGCCAGCGGCAGAGGGCGAAGCCTTCTGTGTCAAGGGGATGAAAAAAACGGCCCTACCCTGGGTTACAAGTGCGTGGTCTGTAAACCTCCTGGGAAGTCCCAGTGCCTAGAGAGCCGCCAGGACGCCGCACATCACGCAGGGTTTATCCTGTCAGCCCACAGGATGTTCAGCGCACAGCGCCTCGTAAAACCAGGGTAGGAGCGTTTGTTTTGCGCCCCTGGTGTATGTTTTGAATTACCCAGAGAGCCCTCGACACTCCTGGAGGGGCAGCATCAGTACTGGAAAGCTGCAGGTGCCAAGGAGTTGGCGATCACTTCCCCTTTTCCTTCTGCATCGGCCGTGAAGACAAGAGACGGCAACGATCCGCACTTGGACGGTAGTTAATGGATGTGGGTACGCGGTCCTTCCAACGTGCTTTTCATTAGCCAGTAGAGTCTGAACGTGTGCATCATCGTAAGAAGTGTAAGCGCTCGTAGGGAGCAGGGGTTGGGCGGGCAGGCCGCATCCTATACTGAGTCGCCACTGTGAGAACGCGATGTGTGCAGGCATCGCACACTGTGCGATGGGAAGGAATGTTGTGGTAAGCCAGCGTCGAACACTTCTGATGGCAACGCAACCGCCTTGAGTCTGGCCTGCAAAATCCACTGTGATACGTCGTTGTGGGAGCTCCTTGGCGAAGCAATTCTGGGAAACACGGAACCTTCTCTGACGACAGAAAACGCAATACGATTTCAGCATGAGGGAGCATAACAGAAGTACTCAATGTCACCATGAGGAGGCTGCACCTGCTACAACATAGCCTATATGTGAGCAGACGCTGCAATTCTGAGAACCAGCATTAGCAGCGGGATCCGCCTGCCCGGGCTGAGGTGTCCTGCAACCTGCTCCAGTTCCGCTTTCCAGTTTCCAATGTGATAGTTCTGGTTCTGCTGTCTGCTTCCTTATGTAAACTGTTACTGTCCGCGCGAGGGGGGTGGGGCCGAGAATCATCCCGGCCCGCACGCCCGAGTCGCGTGCTCAAAATTTCTGGGGGGAGCGTGTGGCACCTGGCACGTAAAAACTCACGGGGTTCGCGCCCCCGACGCGAGAATCCTTCGCAGACTGTGCCAGGCACAAGCTCCCGCGGCCGGAACCTTTTTGGCAGATGACGCCGAATTCGCACTGCCGAGGCCGGAATGCCTAGCAGATCGCTTCTGATTCGCGCTCCTGAGTCCAAAACCCTTCACAAAATTGCACCAGATTCGCGCTCCCAGGGCCAGAACTTGTGTGCAAATTCTTCGCGCGCCCGAGGCCATGACTTACACCGGCTTTGCGCTCCCGGGGCCAGAAAACCTTCCAAGTTACACCAGACTCGCACTCCTGAGACCAGAGCATATTGCAAATTACACCAGATTGGCCTTCCCGAAACCAGAATGCCTCGTCAGTTACGCCAGATTCGCGCCACCGAAATCACATTCCTCGCAAGCTGCGCCAGATCCGAGCCCCGTAGGCAACGATCCTTCGTAACTTACGCTCGTGTCGCGCTCCTGAGGTCACGATCCACTGAAAATGACGTCACGATTGACAGCCGTCCTCGCATGAGATTCTGGTATTACTTCAAGCTGGCGCCTAGGAATCCCAACATAGCTCCGGCATGTCCCCTCGTAATAGAGTCCCCATCGCTCGGACGTCCATTCCCCTGCGCATTGTTCGGTTTCGTGCGGTGTATGTTTCGCAAGATGGTCCCAAATGCTCCTCGACGACGGTCCTCTCCGAGAAAGAATGCAAACGTCCCGGGCGATGCCACGCAGAGAGGCGGCTGCCCGCAGAAGGCGAGGCCCTCGCGGACATGTGGCTACAGTCGGGACTTTGGCGAGGAGTGGTTTCCGAGGGGCTGCTGAGGTGCAAAAGTGTAACTGTCAAGACCCATCGTGTGAGGCCGTTGCGAGAACAGGAGAAGAAAAAACCACATGAGCATAAGATTTGGGCGATTCGCGCGGATGTCTTGGATCTGCGCCATGTCGCCCATCACTGGCGCGCGGACGCGCCAGGGGCGTCGGCAGAGGCGCCGCCCAGGGGGCCCAGCGCGGCTCCAAGAAATCCGCGCGCAGCGCCAAAAGTCTATGCTCTTTTGCCGTCTGTTCCTTCCTGGAGAGAAGGTACGCCGACAGTGAGCCCCGCTCAGAAGGTGCTGTGCTGAGCAACCTCGTGAAACAACGGTTGAAGCTCACGTGTTCGTGATTGGGAGGAGCGGCTGCGGGAAAGCAGTTACCAGCGCAAAGTACCGTTGCGGGAGGCCGCATCAGCTGTGCCACAACTTTCTGCTAGCAGCGCGAGCCGGGTCCGGCACAGTCGAGGTCAGACGCAACCTCTCCAAGACGAGCTTCACCAAACCTGCCAAAGCTCCTGGTCGAACCAATTTTTGGCTGCCCTACACTGCCCAGGCGAACGAATGCCCCACCCCCTGCTTCGTCTTAGTTGCTTCCTCTCCTTCTCTCTCTCTCTCTCGCTCTCTCTCTCACTGTGTGTTCGAAATACAAGCACATACGAACACATGCACACAAACGTGTGAACCTGCATCGTGCTGCAGATTGCTCCTGTGCTGCGTATCAGAAGGGTCACAGATCTGATGCGCAGCCACGGCCCTGGCCAGAATGGCTGCTGAAGCGAGGTGCGTGGGAGGATTGGTGGGGCAGGGGCGACCTTAGAATGGGGGAGAGGGGCCAAGAGCGAAAGCAGCAGGAGGAGCAGCAGCCAGAGTAGAAGGGTATAGCGCGGGAATGGCCCAACCTGGGAGTGAAAGAGAAGCTGGGATCACCCAAAAGTGTGAATCCGCGAGGGGGAAGCCTCTAGGAATGACTGAAACGGCGAAACATGATAGGACGCCAACGCGTAATCACAAATGAGACACGTGTCACGGAAATGTGGGAAGGATAAGGGAAGAAGGGACAAAGAGAGGAATATCATTGAGAGGAAGCAGGACAGACCGCGAAAAGCAGAGAGAATGAAGGAAGATAGAGCGAGAACATGTATATGCACATATATACGTGCTCCCAAATTCGTATACGACGACGAAGTCGCAGATGCAAGGCGAATGCGCGCGCCAGAATCGCGCCCACCTGGAGCAGCTGCGTGCCAAGCCTTGAGATTTTCGCTCGCCGCCAAAACGAAATGGCAAAGAAAGGAAGGGGCACGATTGAGCCTCCTGGGAACATGCCGGTGCAATCCTCGTCACTGTTCCTGAGCTCTAGCACGGTCGGGCCGCTCAAACATAGTCTTCGAACGACCCCGTGGAACTCGAGCAAAGCCGCAGCGGCGACAAATGGTTGATCGAAGAAGATCGGTCTTAACAAGCGCACCATTTGGGCTGCATGTACACGTCCCCGTTTGCATTGCGGAACTCCTTCAGGCGCTTGCAGAACCTGCCCATCCGAGGAATCAGCCGCCTACATCTTGCAACTTTAGTGCGTTATGCGTCCGCCCATGCGCGCGACTCTTAATTTGCAAGCCGTTCTACTGAAATGTCTTGAAATACACCGCAGCATCGTGACACGTGCAGTCGGTCGGAAAAGGGGGGGGCAAGTTCGCATGCAGTCGAACAACTCCGACTGCAAGGCAGAATGGCCAAACATGTCTTGCGATGGATCGGCTCGTCGGCGTAGCTCTGCGGGACATGGGGCCATCAGGCCCTGCCGATTCGAGAAACGACAAACCCGGGGGTGAAGCCAGCCGCTCTCGCGGCACACTGCGTGGAAAAAAAGGGTCTCCACAGGGGCACCTTACGCCGGCAGCTCGGGCTGGGGTGTCCACGCCGGCAGACCCATGCAGTTCATGTGCCGTGCGCCGCAGATTTCGCAGTGGCTTCATGACAACTGGACGGGGGTATGGCTGCAACAGAATCGGGCCCCGCGGCCAAGGACAGTGGGGCCACAGGCCATGGCCACGAGTCGACCAGAGAAACTGGGAAGCCCTGGGGGGGGAGGCCAGAGAACCCCCGGGGGACCAGGGGAGGAATCGCAGGGAAACGACACAGACAAGCCAAGGAGAGGAGGCGGACGAGGAGCAGGGGAAGCAACAGCGACAATCACTTTAAACATGTTCGCTCTTCGCTGCTCGTGTCTTACTTTACATATATCTGTATATACATATGTAATATGAATACATATATATATATGTATGTATGTATGTGTGTATGTATGTTTGTTTGTATGTATGTATGTATGTATGTATGTATGTATGTACGTACGTACGTATGTACGTATGTACGTATGTACGTATGTACGTATGTACGTATGTACGTATGTACGTATGTACGCATGTACGTATGTACGTATGTACGCATGTACGTATGTACGTATGTACGTATGTACGTATGTACGTATGTACGTATGTACGTATACGTATGTACGTATGTACGTATGTACGTATGTATGTATGTACGTATGTACGTATGTACGTATGTACGTAGGTGTGCATGTATGCATGTATGCATGTGTGCATGTATGCATGTGTGCATGTATGCATGTGTGCATGTATGCATGTGTGCATGTATGCATGTATGCAAATATGCATGTATGCATGTATGCATGTATGTATGTATGTATTCATGTATGTATGTATGTATGTATGTATGTATGTATATATACATATATATATATATGTATATATATATACATATATACACTGGAACCATCGCGCGCGCTTCGCGCGCGCTCAGGTTCTAGCAGGCCCCAGACCTTGACGAATTCTTTGCTCCACTGAAGAAGTGGACCACAGTCCACGCATGCCAATCTGCATTCCGAAAGGCCTTCGAGGAAAATGGTTGTGTAGGGGGGCGGAGGCCGTATGAATCGGGTTCCCAGAAGGCCTTCTGGGAGCATGGGTTTGGGGGCGTCTTGGGGAGCCTGTTGGGGCGTGCCGTCGTCGTCGTCGTCGTAATGTCGTCGTCGCCTATTGGGGCGCGCCGTCGTCGTCGTCGTCGTCGTCGTCGTCGTCGTCGTCGTCGTCGTCGTCGTCGTCGTCGTCGTCGTCGTCGTCGTCGTCGTCGTCGTCGTCGTCGTCGTTTCGTCGTCGTCGCCGTCGGTTCAAGAGGGCACTTGGGGCAACTTTGCGCGAAACGATCTGCAGAGGGCCGCGAGAAGGCGATCAGTCATGTTCCCAATCAACTTCCCAGACAGCTCTCCTGCAGCATGATGGCATGCTGAACCTGTCCCCAGAAGGCTTTCTGGGGACATGGTTTGTTGGGGTATGGTGGGGGGTCTCTTGGGCATTCCCGGGGGGCCCCTTGGGGGCCTCCAGGAACTCTCGGGCCCATGATGAACAATGTCCCCGGAAGGTTTTCTGGGGACATGATTTCTTGGGGTGTATTGGGGGGCCTCTTGGGCGTTCCGTGGGAGCCCCTTGGGGGTCTCTTGGGGCTTCCTGAGGGCGTCCGCCCCCGCCGCCGACTGCTGCCGCCCAGCCGCCTCCGCTATCCGGGTTTTGGACGCCAACAAGTCCGGCGCAGAGTGGAGCTACTCCAGATTTCAGGGAAGGGGTTTCAACTCTCCCAGACGAGAAGTTTTAGACCCCCCCGTGGGAGAACCCTCCAAAACCTCGTTCCCAGTCCCCCCCAGGCCCTCCAAGATACCATGGAAGGGACCCCCCCCGAAACGAGACCCCCCTCCCTTTATTACGAAATCTGGAGTAGTCACTCGTAGAGCTTCCCTAAGAGCGTCAGCGGGATGCTAGGAGAGTAATTCTGGCGCGCTGGTTCCCGCTCGCCGGGGCTTCGTGGGGGCCTCTTGACTCTTGGTGGCCTCCGGGGGCCTACTGGCGGCCTCTAGGGCCAGAGACCTCGAAATGTCGGTTAGTGGTCCCCATCTGAACCCTCTCTTGGGAAGCTCTTGGGGCACAATTGAGATGTCTGGGGAGCCTCCTGGGCCGTCTTGTAGCCCTCCTCTGGGCCTCGTGGCCCGTCTTGGAGCCGTGAGGGACCGCTGGAAACGGCGGAAGCGAGAACGCCTAAATCCTTCAAAAACCATTGGAAAATTCGTGAATCTTGCCTCCCAAGCCCTCTTGGGGAGCGTCTTGAGTCCGTCCTGGAGCGTGTTGGAGTCCTCGTCGGCCGTCTTGAAGGCATCTTGGGCGTTTTCAGGGCCTCTTGAAACCGTCTAAGGGTTGTCTGGGGAGCGTCCTGGGCCGTCTTGGGGCCCTCTTCCGGGCCTCGTGGGCCTTCGTGGAGCGATCTGAAGGGTCTCCGAGGCCGTGAGGAAGCGCTGGAAAGCTGAAAAAGCGAGAACGCAAATCCAAAAGGAAAACGGGCGAATCTTGCCTCCCAGGGCCTTCTTGGGGAGCCTCTTGAGTCAGTCCTGGAGCGTGTTGGAGTCCTCGTCGGCCGTCTTGAGGGCATCCTGGGCGTCTTCGGAATCTCTTTGGACCGTCTCAAGCCTCCATTAGTCTGTCGTGGCCTGCTTCAGGGCGAGCCCAGGCCTCGCTGGAAAGCGGAAAAAACGAGAACCCCAAAAATCCAAAACACTCGGACAACGAACGAATCTTGCCTTCCATGTTCCCGGCAAATTTTCCAAGGTGCGCCTTTTTGCCTTCTCAAGTTCATTGAAAACATGTTTGGTGCGGCGGCAAGGGATCATGCTCCCAGAGAGCTAGCTGGGAAGTACGATTTACTAACGCATCTGGATGCTCGCAAAGGGCTTCCCTGGGAACTCCTTAGGAGGCTCTTGGGGTTTCCGGAGGGCCTCTTGCGAGCATCACGGAGCTTCTTGGGAGCCTCTTGATGACCTCCAGCGCGTCCTAGCAACCTCTTTTTATATGTTATGGTGTTATCTTATTTTCTAGTTTGCTTATTATTAAACTTTATATATATAAATATATATTTTATATATATATATATAACGCAACAACGATTCACCACTGTCATGACAGGATATCGCCCTGCACTGCGTCGCTTGGCGACACACGCAGGGCGCAGGCCATAATCCTTTGAAAAATAACGCCGCTCGACTGCTGGCTTGCCCAAGCCAGCCCTGCAGGAGCCAAAAAACGAAACAAGCTCAACCGATAAAACCAAGACAAGACAGGAGCGAGAAGGAAGGAAGGGAGGGAGGAAGAGGAGGACAGGGAGGGGGAGCGAGGGGGGGGGAGGGGAGGGAGAGGCAACAGCAACGACGACGACCAGAAGGAGGGGAGGGAGGGGGAGAAGAGGAAGGGGGAGAGGGCCACGCCCCAACGAGGCACCCGCGCAACGCGCACGCCGTGTGCTCCACGCACGGCGGCCGGGAGGAAGAGACAGGAAAGGGGAGGAGGGGGGAGACGGCGGACGACGGACGACAACGAGACACGACAGCAGCAGAGAGGGAGAAGGAGAGGGAAGAGGGAGGGAGGGGAGGGGGAGGGAGGAAGGGGAGGGAGAGGAAGACAAGGAAGGGGAAAAGCGAGCTAACACAAGGTGCCGAAGATGACGGCGAAGAGAGCAAAGAGGAGGAAGAGAACGGTCGATCAGGAAAAAATATTAAAACATAGGGGGGCCCACTCCTAAGGCCGACCTATGAATAACCCGAGCATGGCCATATCTCTGCGAATGGCGAGCGGCGCCAATCGGAAATGAACGCATGCATCGCGGGCAGAGATCCCCACAGCTCGCAAAAACCTGTCTTGAACTGCGTCTAGCACGCTCAGCGTGGCTGTACACACGTGGGCCAATGCAGGCGCCCGGTATTCAGCGAAAGACAGCACGTGACTCTTGAACAAGAGCATGAGCTCAGGCACAGAGTGGTACCTTCGGGAACGAAGCAAACACATAATTCGTGCATGACAAATGGCTGCCGTTTCTTCCACAGCCTGATGCATACGAAGACGGCAGTCAAAGTGAACTCCTAGCAATTTAAAAGACTCGCCACGCGGGTGGCGATAACTGAAAACATGCTGGCTGTCTCTTCCGGCATCGAACAAAACCGCGTTCGCCTGTCCCCACGAGTGAAGAAGAAGTTGGCACTCCGACAAATTATTGAAGATGCAAGCGTTACTGGTGGCACCCGGGTAAGCCTGTACAGCATTCAAATCACCAGCAAAAACCAGCTCTTCAAAACCTCCCTGTCGGACGGCGGCGGCGGCGCCATGGAAGAAAATGTTCCGCAACGGAGGGCCGAACACAGTACCCTGATAAATCATACTTGTCATTGCAATTAAATCCGAATGCTCGCTCAATCCAGAAACCTTGAAACGTCGCGCTCTTCGGGCCGTCTTGGGTCGTGGGGATCCTGTGGAACGCTCTCGAAGCCCTCTTGACTTGTCTAGGGGGGCTCCTGGGCCGTCTCTGCACTTTCTGCGTCTTCAATCTTGAAGCGATCTGAAGAACTTCTGGCGCAGTCCGTGATCGTGGGGAAACCGTGGGAAAACACAAGAATACTTCCAAAACCATTAGAAC